CCACACAATGTCGGGAAGAGGGAAGATTGTTGACTCTCAGCTAACCCTGATCAGGACATTGAGTGTCGCCAGAATTTGCGCCTGCAAATACTGACAACTACAACTCCCACAAGAACGAGAGACAGTGAAGATCCAGAATGTGAATCAACACAGGTTAAAGAGTTGTGGTTTCCACCTCTCTCATGGATCGAGGGTAGGGTAGGATGAGTTCAGATTTGGTTTCCCTTTTGTCCCTTCAGATGAAGGAAAAGGGAGCAATCATCTGAGCCTCATGCCCCTCTAATCCCTGATCCGGGTCAGGATGCTTATAACAGAAGGATGCTGCCAGCGCAGTCCCCACACTGGGTAGGAAGGAACTAGTCTCAACTGAAGCTGCTGCAGCTGCAGATGCAGGTGCAGCACTGGAGGGAACTGTTGTCTCCAGGCTCAGCTTCAGTTTTTTGACTGAGCTGGGCTAGGCATGTAGGGACAGTCCTTCAAGAAGTGTTGTTCCTCACACCTCAAGCAGACACCTCTCTCCTTCCTCTTCCTCCACACTCCCTCCTGGATCTTCAGATCATGCCATGGGAGAGTGTTGGGGTTCAGAGGGTCTGCTGGGAAGTGGACGTCACGTGGCAGATTAGGGCGCCGGGCAGGGGTTGAAGAGCGACGTCCCTGGCTCTTCCCCTTGCTGCTGGAGGCTGTGCTGGAGGCAGATCCGGCCTTTTGGAAGGCCCCCAGCGCAGCCTGCAGCTGCTGGACAACTGCTGCAACATCTGGAACAACAGCTGAAACAGTCCCAGCTGGCGGTGTACCAGGCTGGGAACCTGTGTCAGAGGCTGACCCAGATCCCGCATATGCAAAGGCCGCCTTTCCCTTTCTACCACCGCGAGGGAAGACGCCTCTCCTCCTGTAGCTGGAGGGGGCCTGGACATGAAGCTTGGCTTCCATGTCCAGTGCTGCACGTCCAAACGATCTCCAGTCTTTGTGACCGGCGCTGTACAAAGCAACACATAACTTTTCAGGCACAGCCCTGCAAAAGTTAGTCAACAGATCATCTGCAGACATCACCAGACCAGGGGTGGAAGTCAACTGTTCAAATTCAGCAATCAGGGCCTGTAGACTGCCGCTGTAACGCTGCTGGCCCAGACGTACTATCTTATCAGCAGCTTTGCGGACTCTTTCTTTGTCTGCAAACCGATCTTCCAGGGCCTACAAAAGTTTGTCAGCCCCCAGTGCCAGGGCCCAGTCCTCCAAAGTCTGCTTCTGGGCGCTTGCTGTTGAGGTAGCCCATTTCTGGGCAGGCCCCTCCAGCAGCCCCACAACAGTGGCCACCTTTTGCTGCTCTGGACACTGAAACCCCTTCAGATAGGCCCGGGTTCCAGCTGTCCAGTCCCCCACATCAATCTTGGGGTCATCCCCCTTGAATTTGCTGGGGGCAGGGATCTTGGGACCTCTGCGGTCCCCAACAACAACAGCAGCAAAGGTGGGAGGAGGTGTGGCTTTGGCCTGGGAGGA